GCACATTTTTGTCCATGTGTGTGTTTTTGTTGCGATTACAGTACTTACAAAGCAAAAAACCGACTCCTGCACTGATCAACAAGATGGCAAAGACCAGTCCTCCAATCCGTAGGCTTTCATAGTCTGTTTGATGCAAAGCAAACACATCCGCAAATCAAGCAGAGAACCGGCACATTTTCATTTATGATATGGATTAAACTGAACAGAATACACATTGTCATACTCTGTTCTTTTATAACTTTTTAATGAGCACATATTATTGACGTGATAGATTTCAAATTGTATATGATAAAAGAAATAAGAGCATGTACACTTACTGTAAACAAATGAATCTTCAGACACATGAAGGAGGCGATATAAGAGAGGAAAAAAGAAGTTAGTGACAAATTTGAAATAGTCGTGAAGTGTGACAGCATTTGGTTTACTCGAACCAGAGGAAAGAGAGAATGTAAAGCAAATGGAAATAAATAAATATGGTGTGGTAATGACATTTTGTGAATTATCAGTTGAGTAGTTATTATTAGAACTAAGCAAAATGATTTATCTGCTCTGTGATGACCTTCTGCAAACAGTTTGACTATAAAAATATTAGTCAGGGCTGCAGAAGAATGACTTTGATTGTAGGGAGAAATACATTTGTGGATGGCTTGTTTATAAACCAGGACTGCGACAAACCCATTCTCAAGGTTAGGTGCACGTAGTTTTGACCTTACTTGCTTCGGCTTCCACAAAAAGGCTGATCAGCACTGCAAGAGAAGCAAGGGTGATAAAATATGAATTCTATGGATTTTATGTGGACTTTGTCTTTAATGTCATTTTCTGCATTTCTGTTTTGTTTACCTGTGAGAAAAGCCACAAGAGTGAGATGGCCCATCTTCAACACAACTGAATGAGACAGACGGAGAGAAATGGTGAGACACGATTGCGAGACATCACTTTTTCTCACATGCATACACAAGAGAGCCAAACAGCGCACGCTCTGCCCTCTCCTCGGGAAGATTGCCCTTGCCGTGTGAGAGGTCGGTGTCTCGTCAGCAGGGATGCACTCCGAGTGTTTGGAGAGTAAACAGCGGATCGCTTTTTGTTTTGGGGAGGAACTCAGCGGGTCCTTTCCCTCAGCCTACGCTCAGCTCTGCAAATGTTCATTGCAACTGGATGAATGCTGTCATGTGCTTTCCAGTATCGTTTGTTTTGGAAGTAACATGCTCAGTGGAAAAAAAAGAAGAAGAAAAGTTTTGCAGTCTTTTAAAATGTATGGTGTCTCAGGAAATTAACCTCAGCGTCATCCCCGAGTTCTGAATGACCTTGGAAGACCCCTGGGCTGGCAAGAGTCGAGGCATTCTAGAAATTTAGCACCTTTTCTCTTATTGGCTCTTCTTCTCTCTCTCGCTAAAAGTGATTTTCCATCACTGTTTGGATTTTTAACAGCCATGCCTCTTTTCAAACCACGCACAAAACCCAGCAAGATAAAAGACACCTCGTGCTTTTGAAACACATCCGATTTGCCTGTCAAGAAGATCAAAGAACACCTTGATGCATAAATATGCCGTCTGATTTTTTTTCACCATGCATTCATCCAAAATCCCAACTGTACAGAGTGATAACGGAGTTTACCAGGAATAGGAGAATTTTGGAAAAAAACCCATCAAAAATGAAAAAAACAACAACAACTCCAAAACAAACAGACCGTGGTTGCAGCGGACACTTTTCTCAGTTTCACTTCAGCTCTTTGTAAGCTATAACTTTGTAGTTCTCTATGGCTCACCGATGGACCAATAAGCAAAAACACAAGTAGTACTAGGTAGGTAGACTGCTTGTTTGAAGCTACATTCAGACTGCCAATGGATCGCCAGTGCACTAGAATGGCTGAACCATAATTTGCCCATCAGAAAACAGAGCAGCAACACGTTTAGTTTTTACAAGATCATTGATTTGATCTATCCAGAATTGACTTTTCAATTCTGAATATGCAAAGAAGACACCAAGACAAAAAACATCCTAAATATGGAAAAAGAAAAAGAAAAAGTTTTGCAGTCTTTTAAAACGTATGGGGTCCGAGGAAATTAGCCTCAGCGTCATCCCCGAGTTCTAAATGACATTGGAAGACTCGGTGCATATTTCTAGAGTGCTATAAATGAACCAAATATCCTAGATGCCCTTAACAAGTCTACAAAACAAAAATGATTTGCTAAGCACTCTCTTAAAGCAAGCTCAGCACACGCACACCATCACAACAGCAACTAAAAAGAATCATAACCTTGGCGCCTGATTCCTAAGTCCTAATTCCCATCGTGCCTCGCTGCACCATACCTGTGCTTACCTGAGCTGATGGTTCAGTAGCAGCGGTGTGTGCGGTGACAATGTTCTAAGACACTGTCTTGTTAAAAGCGTCTTTCTTATTTTACCTGACTAAGTGCTCCCTCCTCCTCCTCCTCCTCTTTATTTGGGATATAAACAATTGTGTGTACATGTGTCCGGTGTGGATGTGAGATTGGCTGCTGTGTTGACGCATTTACACATGTATCAGAGACCAAAGTCAGTGTTGCTACATAAACATCTGCGTGTGTATGGGGATAGCAGGAACAAAGCCTGTCATAATGTCCCTCAGAGAGGACATTTTTAGACGTAGTTGAGAAACTCTGTTATATATGTTGGCAGACATCATTATCATGCTCTAAGCTAAGCACTGCTTTGAACTGCAAAGGATGCTTTGACATAACGGTGAGTTGATGAATCCTTTAAATAGACTCATGTGCTGTCCCTGCTGCTTTCAGAGTGGATAGAAGTCAGGAAAATACACACACCGACTCCCTGACAGTAGCATATAGACCACCTTGCTAGCAACAGGTTAGGTCCCTTTTGCCTTCAGTTCTTTAATTTCCGAAAGATCAGCAGTTTCTGAATTACTCAGACCGTCCGGTCATGTCTCCTTCAAAGTCACTTACATCACCTTTCGTTCTCATTCTGATGCTGGTCATCTTGACCATGTCTACATGCCTAAATGCATTGAGTTTTTGACCCAGGTTGGATTTTCTAGCGTATTTACAGAAACACTAAATCAAGTTGAAGCTTCAGCTCCCTGCACAGGTTTTTCTATGGATTTGCTACGGATTGGCTAAGCCCCTCCATGATCTTAATGTGCTTCTTCTTTAGCCCTTTCTTGCCTTGGCAGTATGTTTTGGGTCACTGTTATATCGTG